GAACCTCCACGGCATCTTCTGCTCCTTCACCACTAGGTGGCCTACCAAGACAGCAGATGACAAGGATCACAGCACCAGCAGATGGCGCTGCCTCACCCCCGGTGCATCCTGGCACCTGTGGGTCAGACGCAGCGTCCCTAGCTCCCCAGAAAGAGCAACTATGTGCTTACAAGGCCTGCTTCCCAGGAGCACAGGGCAGGGAACAGTGTAGCCTCTTAATGTTCATTTGGGGGAGCAGTTCACAGACCAAGGCAGGAGAGACCCAAAAAAGCCATCCCAACACCTAGCACTTGGCACCCAGAGCCTGGCTAAGGACCATGATGCTCAGGTACTCAGCAAGCTGGGATGGGCTTTCAAAATGAGTAGCTGTGGGGTGTAGGACACTTCCAGGGTCTATCACAGTTGTGGAAGACATTTGAGAATTGGAGTAAAGGCTAACACTGAATTTGGGTCCCTGCAGGTCCCCGGCAGGTGTTACAGGCTGTGGGCCCCATAGGGCCCTCTAGGTGGGGGGTTACAGGGACAGGAAGAGAATTAGCTGATAAGGACCCAGATGTGCAGGCTAGGCTCCCCCAGGTGCCAGGCCTCAGGGTCCAGCTGCTTATCTCTGAGGGAGGAGCCCCGTGGTCAGGCCTCCCTCTGCATAGCCCTTAGGAGGACAGGGACTATCAATTCCTGTTCCAGGGAAAGTAGCCCTCCAACTAGAGGAGGCCTTATAGGCCAAAGTGTCTCCAACCCCCCAGGGTTCCCAGAGACAACTGCCCAGGTAAACTGAGGTAGCAAACAGATGGCCAGGCAGGAGCAAGTAAAGAACTGAAGAGTTGGATGAATAAAAAATTACATGAAAAGTAGGAGCCACAAGTAGGTGGTGGATGGATGGGTGGATGGATAGATGGATGGATGAATGGTGGCATCATGGCCTGAATGAGCATCCAGGCAGAGGAGGAGCTTGGGGACGGAGCAGGGGAGAGCGTGGGCTCAGGAGTTCAGGGACCAACAGGCAGATGGGCAGAGCCAGCCCCCCAAAACTGACTGGTAGGTAGACAAAACTGGATTAGAAATAAAATCTATTTTATTGAACTATTGTAGGTTTATAGAAAACTTACAAAAATGGTAGAGTTCCCATAGACTGGTTTGCCTATTACTAACTGTGAAGGTAGATAGGAAAAGTAAGTTGTTTCCCCTTCTAAACTCAGAACACCAGGCACAGCTGTGTACTAATGTTGGGAATTAGCCTACGTGCTGAGCCAGGAGTCAGTTGTGCAGTGGATACCCACAGGGGTCCCTAACGCAACTTAATTTTAACACTGTCTACCTGGAGATGATGTCAGATCCTTGAGGTTCTCAGTCCCCAAGACTGTCCTCCTCTGGGAATTGGCACATGCCTGTAATCCCAGCACTCAGACGGCTGAGGCAGGAGGATCATCACAAATTCCGAGGCTGGCCTGGGATACATGGTGAGATGCTGTCACACAAAAACAAACAAATCAACAATAGCAACAACAGCAAAAAGACTGTCCTTCTCCAGGTGCCAAGCATAGACCCAGGTTACCAGGCTGGGGTTTTTTTTTTTTTTGTTGTTGTTGTTGTTTTGTTTTTTTGCAGAACCGGGGTTTGAACTCAGGCCCTTGCACTTTAGGTTGTTACCTATACTTCGAACCCACAAACTATACACTGGAGCTCCTACCATGGGTGCAGGTAAGTTTCTAGGGGTGAGGTGCAGAGCACAGGGCCACACTTTATTACAGAAGCTATTACAAAGGACCCAAAGAAGAGACACCCAGGGGGAGGCAGCTGGGAAGGGGTGCAGGGCTTCTACCCCCTCTTTAGTCCCATTGCCCTCCAGGCACCTCGCAGGACCCAGGAATCAGGAAGCTCCCTGAACCTTGTCCTCTGGAGAATTCATGACAGAGGCGTGGGCACTGGTGATCAGCTCAACCTTCAGCTGCTCTCCTTCCCTGGAGGCTGAGGGACAGGGCTGAGAATCCCACCCTCTGATCCTGCCTTGATCTTTCCTGTCACCAGTCTCACTCTGAAGCCACCTAGGTCCCCAGCCACCAGCCAATCATTTGCACATGAAAGACACTCCTGCAACTCTTCAGATTTCCAAATATTTTCAAAGCTGTGGAGCAGGAAACCAAACACATGTCGTGTTTCACAGCATTACAACCACATCTTATGTTGGTGAGGGGTGACTGTCACAACTTAACAGCTCCTAAGGTACACTGGCAGTTTCTCACCCTTTGATTTGATAGCCGGAATAATTTTGAGGGTGTGTGCTAAGAAGCGGCACATGGTACCTGTGATTGAACTGCGGTCCCTGAGCACCTCCCTAAGCTTGCCTAAGCAGGCGCTTTAGACCACTGAGCTATCTCACCAGTCCATCTGAGCTGGTTCTTCTCTTATTCTCAGAGGTAGGCAGAGGTTTCGCATCACCTCTCACCTGGGTCCCCACTCTCATAACTCTTCACTGTGACATTGCCTTAATCTTATAGGTGTGTGTGTGTGTGTGTGTGTGTGTGTGTGTGTGGCCTCCACTGTACAATAACCATGTCCCTTTTTCAGGGAAGAATTTACTATGCACAACCATGCATAAGGCACGGAGAGTTATACCTCACCTACTTGAGAGTGGATATTTACATCATTTATTTGCAACACTTCTGCATGTCAAGTTTGTCTTTATTCCCTCCCTACTTTAAATATTCAATCAGTTATTTATATTGGTATGGATCCACAGAGGTTTTTAATGTGGCAGATTGTAATCTCATACTATGCTATTTTTGTTGTTGTTGCTCAATTTTTTTTCCAGCTTTGGCTGCCACAAGTTCTGTGTTGGTTGGATCCTGAGCCAAAACTATTTTAATGAATCAGTTAACTATTAGGTGAAGGAATGCTAATACACACCCAGCCTGACATCTTGCACATAAAGGCAGAAGGAGAACAAGCCATAACTCGCAGAGTTATGCCTGACCCTCTGGGCAGGGTCCACGGGCAGATAAGAGTGGGGGAATCTGTCCCCTGGGTCAGCTCCATGGGGAAAGCTCCTGCTGTTGTAAAGCCCCTGCCTGGCTCCCACGGGCCAGTGCTACCTTCCACAGCAAGCAGGCAGCCCCCAGGGTATTCAGAGAAGATGGACAACAGGCATTTGGGGGCAGTTACTTCTGTCAACCTGCCTCTCCCACTTGCAGGGGCTCAGGTAGAGTTCCACAGGACAAAGGTGGTGGCCCTTATAACACACCAGCTCCCTGGGCCTGCTCTGGGGTCCAGGGAAGAGGACTGTGATCAAACCTGTGTCCTAGATCACCTGGCCTCGGGTTCTGGCCACCTTTAGGAGACACAGTGGGGCCACTTGTGCAGGCCACCTGGCGCCACTCTGAAAACATCCCACGTTCAGTCCAGAGGCTGTGCTGTGTCCAGGCTGCTTCCTGGAGGCTGCCCAGGGCTGCCTTCCAATGCAGTTAAGAGACAGTGTTCCAGAACATTCAAGTGACAGCCCATCGCCACTGGAGACAAAGCTGAATGAGCTGTCCCTGGGCCTCATACTGCAGACCCTCCTTTTGTACTGGACACCTGCCTGGGCCATACCTGGGCCGGGCCTAAAGCCTCCATCTGGAGCCATTGAGAATTTTAAGAGACAAGAGCTGCAGAGGAGCTACCTGAGAGGTCCCAGTGCCCCTCTTCTTAGGTAAGAGGAGGGAAGCAGGGGCCACAGCAGTTCTCTCTAGTGACAGTCTTGCCAAGCTGGTGACCAGCCTGATCCGTTCTCCCAAGAGCAATACTAGTGGGAACTGCTTGTTGCCAGCACAGAGCCCTGTTCAACTGGCTTCTAGAAGACTGAGTGATCTACGTACCCACAGCTCTCTGAGCCCCCAGCCTCCTCTTGTCTAGCACCCCATATAAGTAGATACAGAAGAGAAGCAGAACTAGGAGAACCTACTCACCAATGGCCAGCACTTAGCAGGGCACCAGCGGTACAGGCCAACCCAGATTCGACCCAACTGCGGTTTCACATAGCATAGTGATGTCACGTTAAGGTTCACCTTGGCTCCTAAAGCCCCACTTGTTGTGATTCACATGGTCTGGGCTTGCCCGGCTGGCCTTATCCATGGTTTGCATTGCCTGGTAACAAAGGAGCCCCACCTGCTAGGAAACCCAGCCCTCCCACCAGGTACCAAGAAGCTCCTTTCAGACTCCCCCTTAGTGCCTTGAAGACACCGAAACACAAATTGTCTTTTCAAAAGTGTAGCTGTCAAGCTGGGTATGGTGGCACACATCTGTAACCCCAGCACTCAGGTGGCTGAGGCAGGAGGATCACCACAAGTTCAATGCCAGCCCAGGCTACATAGTGAGTTCAAGGCAAGCCTGAACTACATAGCAAAACCCCGTCCCAATAACACAAAACATTTAACTGCCACAGAATACTTCATATGGTACTATTTATAGACTTTTACTAATCGTATCAGATTAGGCCCTGTCCCCAAATTCCTCTAAAGATTAGTCCCTAGGCAAGACTTCTAGGGCACCACTCCCCCACCCCTGCTTGCACACCTCACTGCAGGGAGGTCGCTCCTCCGCAGACACTTTCTGGCTGCCTTACCTGCCACACCCTGGCCTGGCCATAGCAGGAACAAAGCCGCACCCACCAGGCCACCAGGGAGGCCTCCATATCAGCAAATGCCCTGGTGTCATGGGCCAGGCTGTGGGCAGCAGGGGTGCAGAAACTGGCCCCAGAGCCACTGGCCCTACCCTTCCTGCCTGCCCTTCTTCCGGGGCACCCAGGCATTCTGTTCTAGGGGTTGTGCCAATACATGGGCGGACACAGCCTCCCTCCAGGGCAGGCAACTGTGGTCAGAGGCCCCCACCCAGCAGGAAACCACAGTAGTGGAGGAGAAGAGAAGGGAGGGGAAGGGGTGGGAGGGGAAGGGCACAGAGAGGAGGGGAGAGGAGAAAAGAGGAGAGGAGAGGAGAGGAGAGGAGAGGAGAGGAGAGGAGAGGAGAGGAGTGGAGTCCACCATGAGGCCTGGTAGTCGGGTCAGGGCTGCCAAATGCCAGATGCTGGCCACCAGCTTCTTTGTCTTGGTAACAAGCAGGATGGGCAGGAGGGTGGAAGTAGGGGGCTACTATGCCTGTAACCAGGGTCACCTCTCCACGTGCACATACCGGCCCTCCTTCCCCAATCTGCCCTGCAGACTTGATCCCAGGTCCCTGGTCTTGGGCCCAGCAGGTTGTGTGCATCTGGACAGGATTTCTACAGCAGTGCCTACCCTTCTGAGGAGCCTGGGTTGGACTGGGGGCCTTAGATGGAGGTGACCTAGGGTGGAGAGAAGGTTACAGGGAAAGGGTGCTAGCTCAGCTCTCTTTCTGCCCTAAGGGAAGGTGCAGGGTTGCAGGGCTCTGCAGGCAGATTGACACAAAGTTCTGGGTCCCTGAAGGAGCTGGGCAATGGCTATGTGTGTATGCCCACTTGTCAGTATTTGTGTGCATGTATGTTGGGGGGAAAGAGGTATCTAGGGCAAAGATACCTCTTGAGAACACTTCACAAAAATGCCCAGTGCTCCCAGCAGCTTGCTTGTGTCCTGTGAGACCAGGACCCTGCAGGGGGCCTGACTTGGGCTCTGGGAGCCCAGATCCTGCCTGTGGAAAGGGGGCAGGATCTGTGGCCATCCCCAGCTCTGAGCAAGCCCACGCTCTGAGCCCACCTCACCCACAGCTGCTGGGCTTCGCTGTGGCCACCGTGGCAGTTCTCACATACATCGGAGATCATTTTGCCATCATGAGCCATGTGTCATTGGAGAGGAACCCGTATGATGCCGTGCACCACTGGGGTAAGTGTGGTCAGGGCTGGGTAGAGCAGAGGTGGCTGGAGCAGGTTTGGATTGGGCATGAGGTCCCAGATTCAGTGCTCTGGGTGATCAGAGGGGCTGGCTGGGAAGAACCAGGAGCTTTAGGCAGGGAAGGACAGCCTTGCCGTCCTGGCTCCCCTGAACAGAGACTGAGTCTGGATTAGGCCTGTAATGCCCCTGGAGTGTGGAACAGCACAGTCGTTCCAACCACATTAGACCCAAGATCCTTGCTTTCAGAACTCAGCTGTGACAGGCGATTTCTGAAGCAGGGTCTTGGGGACTCAGCAAAGGAATATACAATGTTCAGAAGGCAGAAAATGCCAAGAAACGGCCACAGCTACCTAGTGACCCATTCCAGAGAGCACAGAAGGCTGCTTCAATGAGAAGACATCTCAAACAAAAGCACCCCCAGAAGGTGGCTGCCCAGTAGGCGAGGGCGGGGGAAGCTGAATGTGGGCCTCCCGTCTGCCCAGAGCCGGAAGCCTGAGGCTTGGGCTTGGACTGATAAGGTCACAGCTCCACAAGCCACCTGTCATGAGGGCTTGGGCATACGCTTGAAATAATCTCCAGGCAGGGAAGGCAGGGTGAAAAATAAGGGGGAGGGGACACTTTACTTTCACTTCCCTCCTCTTTCTCTGAGAAGAAAGCCTGTTGAGCAGGAGGAAGCATGTCCCGGTTTGAGGGGGAAGGGGGCCCATTCAGAGCAGCCACAAAGTCCAGCCCCCACGACCCTCAAGATGGAGTTCAGGCGTAGACTCTGTGCATCAGGCCCTATCCCAGTCTCCCCAGTGCTCTTCTCTCTCTTCCCGTGCAGCCTTCTATGTGGGGATCAGCCTGGCAGCCCTGTTGATCCTGGGGGCCTCCCTGAGCACCACAGCTGCAGTGAAGGAGGCCCAGGGCCTCATGGCTGGGGTGAGTTCTCTTACACCCTTAATCTCCCATCCTCCTAAATCCCTCCACCTGGGACAGCTGTGAATCCCCCATCCCCACCCCCTGTGTCCTACATGGGTCCCTACTTCACCTCATCTTCTTCGTACATGATAATGGTCCTGCAGAAGCCCTGGAAAGCAGAGCTGGCCTTCTCAGCCCTGGGAGCCACCTCCAAAGATCCTGAGAGCACCCTGTGCAGTTACCCAACAGTATCTGGGCACACGGTTTGGGTGAGGCTCATTACCCATTGGGAGGAGACCAGGGAGGGTCAGAGAAGTGGCCTCTGTGGGGCCCTCCAGCCTTGATCTCCCAAGCCTCACACTTTCTAGCCACCAGAGGGCTCTCCCGCACCTCAAGATTTCATAGTCTCTGACCCTCCCTTCCTGCCCTTGCCCCACCAGGCCCTCCCCCCTCACCTGGGCTGGAGCAGCTCCTCCCTGGTTCCCTGGACTCCCACCTATTCTTCCACTCCACCTATGACAACCCTGCTTCCCAACTCTGACCCTGTAGATCCTTGCCCCTGGTTGCTGGCCTACCCCACCCTGCTTCATGAGTGGTTCATGAGGCCAGAGACCCTTGGGAGCCTTACTCCGAGCTTTGCTGCCTGGGTGGGCTGTGGGTCTGGGCTTTACTGGACATTAAGGACAGAGCTTCCTGGGTTTACAGACTGCGAGGGTCCACCCAGCTCTCACACTCCACTCAGGTTTGTTCAGGACCCCTCGTCACCACTGTCCTCAGAGACACAGTCAGATTTGCCTGCTGGAGTTGCTGGTCCTTGGGTGAGCCTGAGGAAACTGAGCAGCATCCACAACTTCGATGTCACCAAGATTCCCCATCTGGAGCTACAGGAGTGAGACAGGGACAGTGCCAGCTACGGATGTGCACTAAAACCTAGGCTTGTGCAGTCTGGCCTTTGGACTGACAGGGAGGCCTCAGCGAGAGGGTGACAGGGCTGGTGGGTTGCACCGCTAAATGGTGTGTGCTCTGCCGAAAGACAGTCCTAGCAGACAAGGCTGAAAGTCTGCTCTGCTTAGGTCTGGATGTGTCCGGCAGGAAGGCTGCTGCATCAGCCACCAGGGGGCACTAGAGAGCTGGGTTTGAGGCCTCAGGGCACAAAACGGAGGACCACACCAGGCCGGCATGCTCAGGAAGGCCTGTGTTTGGCATTTTATCAGTGGCCAAGGGCATCAGGGAGCTCCCAAGATTTCGATTCTGCCTCTCTAGTGAGGCGCAGGGTCTAGGTAATCATTACGTGGGTCCATTTACAGGAATGTGCAGGTTGAGCTCGGGCTCCCATACACCCAGCTGAGTCTCTGCACTCACTCGGCCATGGCCACCATAGGGGTAGCAGGAGGAGGCCACCAAGACACCTGTTCCACTAAGCTGCGTGGGGGGGGGCACAGTGCCTTTGCATATGTGTGCCTGTGTTCATGTGCATGTGCATGTGAATGTCTGCACACGCATCTTCATTGCTGGGCTTCACATGCCCTAGCCGCAGTCCCAGTGTGCCTGCCTCCATGTTGCTTCTGGCGTGTCTGCGTGTGTAAGCACGTGCAAAGGAGGCTGGGGCACGGGGAGGAGGGAGTGGAAAATTTTTTTCCATCTTGCCTGGTGCCCAGCTGTCCCCTCCCTGCCCCTTCCTGCCCCCGCCTCCTGCAGCCTCCAGCACAGGAAATGACAGCAAAAGCTGGCCCGGGACAGCCAAACTGGCTACAGCAGCCCAAGGAAGCTGATTCCAATTGTCCGTGGATTTATTTACTTGTGTTCATTTAAGATGAGGTGGAAGCAAAACCCCTGGTGTCTAGGCCCCCTGCAGCAGCCCCTGCCCTATGGAGGCCGTGGCGAGGCTGGGTGGGCCTGTCCACTGCCCAAAACCCTCTCCAGGGGGGTGGGGTGGGGGTGGAAGCTCTTTCTCCTAAGGAATGAAGTGATTTCTGGAAAATGCTGGTTTTCTGAGCTGGCTCATGGCCTCAAGCCTGGGAGGCAGCACTGAGCGATGGTTTCCAGATGGCGATCATGGCCTGGGGTAGAGGAGCGAAAGGGGAAGGAGACTTGGGGTAGGAGGTGAAGAAGAAAAAGAAAAGAGAGGGAAAGGAGATGGGGGCAGGAAAGGAGGGCAGAAGGGAGGAGGAAGAAGGGAAAGAAAAAGAAGGGGAGGAAGATGGCAAGGAGAGGAAGCATGAAAGGAAAGAAAGAGAGGAGGAGGGAAGGGAGGAGTGGGCAGCTCCAAGGCCGATCCCCAAGCAGGCCTCTCAGACCCTGGGGCAAATCACAGGGGCCACAGGGAGGAAGCCCTTTCTGCCGAGCTGTGCCATGTTTGGAACTGGTGGGGTGGTGGGTGCCTCTTCTGTGGGTCCCCTTACATTCACAAGGGCCTCTACCCACCTGCCTTCTATCTTCCTGGGCCACCCCTGTGTGGGACTTTTGGCTGGGAAACCCTGGCTATTGACATCACTGGCTACCAACAGTCCAAGTAGCACATGTCAACAAAAACACATCCTGGTGACACTGAGGGGTGGGGAGGGGGCTGATGCAGAAGGCTAGGTAGTCACACTTGGGCACCATGCCCCCGTGGGCTCATGTGAGCAGTGCCCGGAGCCATGATCTGGAGTCCCAGAAGGGGATGTGGGGACCCAGATCGAAGGCAGCCAGGTGGCCAGGAGGAAAGTATCTGGTGTACTCAGAAGGGCCTCTCAGACTCCACAGAAGCCTGGGCGGGGCTAAGGGAATGTGCATTTTCAGAAGAAAAGTAGGTATAATGTCCATCAGCCTCTGCAAAGACGGGTCTCAGCAGTCTAGATCCCGACGAGAGAAAGAAAGGCAGAGTGGGGCTGGTGAAATGGCTCAGTGGTCTAAAGCACCTACTTAGAACAAGCTTAGCAAAGCATAGGGACCGCGGTTCAATCCCCCAGCACCACATGCCAGCCAGCCCCGCTCCCTGGTGGGCTGAGCTGGCCACACACACACACACACACACACACACACACACACACACACACACATAAATAAAGAAATTTCTTTAAAAAAAAAAAAAGGCAGAGTGAGGAGCGGTGAGTAAGTGAGCCCCAAGAGTGACTAAACACTTGGGGCCACAGGGACTCATGCAGCAGTGTGGCGGAAGGGTAAGGAGCTCGCCTCATCAGGGCGTGGTCAGAACACTGGCTGCTCAGGGCTATGGGCCTCAGCCTTGTGTGAGTCCAGGGATAGGTGTCAGGGTCTCTCTGGAGTCACGTCTCAGAAAACAGAGAACCTATGTGTCGCTCCCTGTGTGGGAGGCACCTAGCTCCCTGCCATGAAGAGGAAGTTTCTTCGCCCAGAGTCTCAAGCACAGGGCTATTCGGCCCCATCCTCTCAGATCAGCTATGGTGGGGCCGAGGTCTCCGTCATCCCAGGGATGCGCTCTGTTCCTGGAGCTGTGATGCTGTGGTGGATGCCCTCAAGAGTCAGGCAGAGGAACAGGAAACATTTCCAGAAAGGGCCACAAGGGGTGGGAAAGGAGCCAGCCACCCAAGGTCTCCTTGCCACCTGAAGTCTGCCCTCTGTCAGTGAGGAGCAGGGCTCAAGGCCACGCTTCACCCACGCCCCACTGGGGCTGTGACCCTCACCGTGCACTGCCTACTCACCCTCTGGCTCCTGTGACCCGACCTCCCTCCGTTCCCAGGGCTTCCTGTGCTTCGTTCTGGTGTTCTGTGCCCTACTGCAGCTGGCCTACTGGAGGTTCCGCAGCCCCACCCAGGTGAGTGCCAGGGCCCTCAGCCTGCAGCACAGGGGCCCAGCAAGGAGCGAAGGCTAGGGCGGCCCCTCTGGGTGTGTCCATGTTCATGGTAGAAGGAGCCCGAGACAGAGAGCAGCGAAGGCAGTGAGGAGGACAAAGGGCTGGGGGTCCTCTTCTGGGCAGCTCCCTGGGGTGGGGAGAAAGGGAAGCCCAGCCCATGCCCCCGTTTTTCCTGAGGCCTTTTCAGCCTGCTCACTCCACTGGAAGAGTCTTCTGGAAGCAAGGAGGCAGTGAGAGGGAATAAGAAAGGCCCTGATTGGAGACGTAGATTGGAGGGCTAGCGTGTTTTAGAAAATATGCAAAAGGAGACAGCCATCCTGACTCAGACCTGGATGGGGTGGCTCTGCCTCATTCATGAAGTAGCATCCTTCCTTCCTTTTTCTTTTTTCTTTTTTTTTTTTTTTTTGCGGAACTGGGCATTGAACTCAGAACCTTGCACTTGCCAGAGAAGCACTTATTTTACTGAGCCATCTCCCCAGCCCAATCCTTCCTTCCTAAATGTTGACTTGCCTGGATGTGGGGCTGGTCCAGTGACTCCAAAACCAGGATCCTAAGGTTCCCTACTCAAAGACTGATGGGTTGAAGAGGGAGGAAGATCTCTTCGGGCCCCAGCAGTGGAGACACTGGTGACAGAACTCAGGCCCCAGCCTACCTCTTTGAGTGACTAGACCAGCACAAAGGCTGAGTAACCCCAAAAGCTCGGAACCAGCAGAAAAGCCCAGCTGGACCTAGGAGCTCATCCTCCGTGTATTAGACATCCACTTCCCCAGGCATCATGCCCAAACCCAGTAGTGGCCACACGAGACAGGCTCCAGAGGGCGGCTGGGCAGGTAGGTAGCTGGCTTGCCTCTCCTGGGAACTACTGAGAAGCTGTGTGCTGTCACACTAACAGGGCCACATGGGTGACCCTTGAGCTGGCGGGTCACTCCCATAGTGTGCAGAAAGAGGGACTCGGGCTTTTTGGAGTGGCCTTGGCAGTGCCAGGATGGGAGGGGGCTTCAGGCTGTTTGTCCACTCTGGCTGCCTTGTCTCCCTTCCCTGACCAAGGGTCTCCCCAGAGTGCCACCCTTCCCCCCCCCCCAACACCAAGACTTAAAAGGAAACACCATTTCCTCCAGCCTAAAGGGGGCCCAACCTTTGGTTCCTGTGGTTTGGAGGAGGGGCGTTCAGCAGCCAAGCAGGTCCGGCCAGCAGTTTGGCATCGCCTTTCCTGTCCACTGAAAGACTGTCAGGCAGGTTGGATGTCCAGGCCACAGTGTGGGTGGCCTCTGTCAAGACAGCTGCCAGGTACCCGGGGCCTGCCTGGGATCTCTCAGCCTGTGCACCCGTGCATTGAAGCTATGTGTTTATATGCAGAGCCTGGGACTCGTGATTCTGGCGGGAAGGGGGCCTTGCCGGGGCCACAGGACAGAACACAGCTGGAGGCTGCTCCCTGCAAAATGGAGGGTGCAGACTGTGGGTGGCTCCCAGCCAGGCTTCTTCTCCAGCCTGCTTCAGCCCTGAGCTCCACCCCCAACACTATCAAATATCTTCATCCTGCCCATGCCCTACACAGCCCTCAAACAGCCCCTGTGCATCCACAGGTGGGCGGGGGCTTCTGTCTAGGCTCTTGCTGTGTGAGGGGTATTGGCCTCTCCTGTGGGTCTTCATTTCCAGCACTGGCTGTGTGTGGATGCCCAGGCCCTGCAGGCAGAGGTGTGGCTTGGATGGCAGGGCTGTGTCTTTGAAATCCTAGGGCTGCAGGACAGCCTCGGCAAGTGCCCCAGGCCTCACCTTCCTTGTCAGTGAAAAGGCAAGTCAAGAACCTTGTTCAAGGGGCTGCTACAACGTGGAAACGAGCCAGCTGGTGGGCAAAGGATTAGTCAGATTGTCTGAAACACTCACTTTCTCCCTCCCTGTGCCCCCCAATCCCCTCACTGCCACCAGACTAGTGGGTCCTCCACAACATGGGGTTAGTTCAGAGCTGTCCTGGGCTTGGATGAAGTGGTATCTGGTCCCAGGACACAGCCTTGAGCAAGAGGGGCAGGTAAGCCTCCATCCTGTGTCCGCTCAGTTATGGGGTGAGCCAGTTAGCTTTCAGCCCTGGGCCTCTTAGCAACCCCTGGGAGAAAAGGAAGAAGTGCCCAGACTCTGGCAAAGCTGATGTGGGAGCTGAGGGTGCAGCAGGCCCATTCAGCCCATTTGCCCCCTATGCTTCCCCAGAGGAACCCCCTAAAATATCCATAAACATGGGATTCGGATGAGTTACCTGGTCAGCATACAGATGGAGGCTGAGGATAAGAGAGACCTCATCCATCCTGGAAGAGACAGATTCTGGTGCAGGGTGGGAATGGGGAGCCCCCCACCCATCTCCCAAGAGCCTCCACTCACAGGCTTCCCTGGCGGCCACTTCCTGGGACGCTGGAGCCTTGGCAGGAGCCCCAAGGTTGGCAAGGGCAGCAATGCAGACAAGGCGGCCGTGAGATGAATACAGAGTGTGAGGGCTATTAATTACGCTCTCACCGCGGCCTGAGAGCCACTTGCCGCAGCTCCCCTGCCATTCCCAGACGGGCCTTCAGGTCTGCATCAGGGAAAATGGATTGCCTGGCTTCCTTAATAATTCATGCCAGGATGAGCACAGCAGGTGAGGAACAGCCTCTGATTGGGCCTATTCTTGAGCCTCCCAGGGCCTACCACTCCCTGAATATTCTAGCCAGGCCCTAGGCTAGTCTGCAGACCACCCCAGGCTTGGTCTACGCTACCCTAGCCCAGCAGTGGAAAGGGAGCAGAGAGTGGTCAAGGCATGACGGACATCACGAATGACCTGGGCTTGGGGGCGAGTCCTAGGGATGTTGCGGACTGCAGCTGCTTAAGAAGCGCACTAATGAAGTTCTACAGTGGGAGATCTCCCTTCGGGCCAGTGAGATAGCTCAGTGGTCTAAAGAGCCTGCTTAGGCAAGCTTAGGCAAACACTCAGGGACCAGGGTTGGATTCCCGGTGCCATATCAGCACCAACCAGCACCAGCCACACCCCTAGAGTAGACTGAGCTGGAAGAGAGATCTCCCTAGCTTTGTGGTTCTGAACTCTTCCTGGGAATGACCCATGGACAGATTGTAGTTGAGGCTTGGAGTCCAGGCTCTAGGTAGGAAAGAAGCCACTGGCCCATGCCATTCTTTCATGAGAACTTCAGTGTTCTCCAACAAAGCCCCCCACCCCAAACCCTATTACAGGGATAACTGTTGATTTGAAGTACAGCCAGGTGCTGGGCATGGCAGGGAGAGCTAGCTTGGCCTCACAGAGTCCTCAGGCTATTGGGCCTAAGGCAGGATCCTGCATCCTCGGTCCTGGAGAGTCACTGGCAGTCAGGCCAAGCAAGTCCCTCAGATCCTAGAGATGACAATATTCCTGTTCTACAGGGACAGGATAGCTGGCACAGGGCCCCAGGGCATGTTGGTCTTCCCTGGGCTATGGCAGAGGACATCAGGGGAAATTAAGTTGTCACAATTGAGGACAGGATACCTGCCCCATCCAACCCAAGCCAGCTTTATGAGGACCTAGATTTCCCAGGAGGACACAGTAGCCCAGCAGGACTCAGTTCCCCTTTCACATGGAAGGAAGCTACAGCTGGGAGAGAAACCCTATCTAGACAGGCCAGTGGCCAAGGCCAGCCTGGTGCCTGTCCTCAGAGGGTGGAAGATGGCAGAGATGGCTGAGTCAGGGATGCCTCGGTGATATCTGGCTTAACCATTAATGGAGAGAGACTCATCAGTGCCGGGAGCATCGTTTGGCACAGGACATCCACATGGCTCCCACTGGGGCTTTCAGGCTAGGGCAGGGCTGGCAGAGAGCTCCCCAGACATACAGGGGGCCCAGTACAATGGGGGCCCCAGGGCAGCTCTTCCCTTTCTGGAAGGCAGGCATGAGTGTCCAGAGCAGGCCCAGGTTCTCCAATGATGTCCAGCCTTCTAAGACAGTTACCGTGTCTTGCAGCTGATTGCATGGTACAAGGTGGACAGTGGACTCAGGGTCTCTCTTCTAAGCAGGAGGGAGGCATTGAGGAGCTTGTCCTGGGCCAGGAGACCAGAGACCTGAGGGGCACTCAGGGACACCCTCCTGGAGGAAGCAAGATTCTAGTTTATCTCTGAAGGATCTCTTGGTGAGGGGAGGACATTTTGATGGGCAGGGTGAACAGAGGCAAGGAGGCTGTTCTTGGGAGGGCAAAGGCTACTGGGTCTAGGTTTGTTGGGTGTAGGGAGAGCCCACAAGCAGCCTGGGTGGTAGTGGTCCACCCTGTCACAGACCTCCACCCCACTCTGCCCTCATGTGGCCTTTTCCACCTGGTACTGACTGCAGGTGCCCCTGGCTTCCCTGACCAACATAGAGCCCAGCTGCAAAGGATCCTGGGTAGTTCTGGGGAAAGTCCTACAAGCACCTTTGAGGAGCCAAGGTCTCTGCCATGGGCCCTTCTGAGACTTCTCACCAAGTCCCATCACCCATGTCCATACTGACAGCAGCAAGGCAGGAACTTCTGTCACTGGCTGCCCTCATATCCCCCAAGATCACTGCCTTGGGGACCTCAGGACCCTCGGGGATCAGGAGGGCCACATGGATAGCATGGCTGGGGCAAAGGCCCCACAAGGGAAGTTCAGGAACCACTCTGAGCACCTGCCCAGAGTCCTGGGTACTGCCCCAGGGAGCTCCCCCTGGAGGAGGAGGGGCTGCCTTGAGTCAGGGGCTCCATCCTTTGCTCAGGGGCTCTGTCACGGGGTGGGGGATGCAAACAGTCTCCCCCCTCCCTCATGAGCGCCTCTCCATAATGCTCTGGTGCAGGTGGAGGATGCCATGTTGGACACCTATGATCTTGTGTATGACCAAGCAGTGAGAAGCCCATCCAGCATTCACAGGCAGGAGCTGGCTGCTATCCAGGACACAGTAAGCTACAGAGAAAACGATGGGGTGCTCAGCCTCACTGTGATCTGGAGAATGTCTACCAGCATCCCCTGCCCCCACCCTCCTACCCCCTCCACCCACCCTGGGCAGCCATCTTAGGCTAGGCCCTGAGAGGAAGGGTTCCCAGGACGCAGGCTGTGGCTGCTCCTGTGGGGAGGGAGCGGGGGAAGGGAGCAAGGAATGCTTGTCCTCTACCCGCTGGGAATAGGGCTGGCCGCTGAAGGTTTGGAACCAATGCAAATAGACCTGTGGGGCCCATGCTAAAAAAAAATTAAGAATTCAAGACAGTGAGAACAGCATTAAAGAAAGCAAGTATTCCACCCCTCTTACACAAGCCTCATTGTGCAAAGGCTGCCAGTCTCAAGTCCCCAGTATGATCACTTCAGAAATCGGGCTACTCCTCTCCAAGCCTAGGCTGCAGGTATCTGTAGCAGAATGAACTCTGACACCCCAGGGGAGGGGGTTATGGGTGGAGGGGAGCGGCGGGTGTCCCCAGAACCTACCTAGGTCTTTTACCCTTCCAGTGCCTTGCATTTCCCATCTGTCCTGCCCCTTTCCAATGGTTTTCCGTGTCTATCCTGTAGTTTCAGTGCTGTGGAAAGAGATCTCCTTTTGGAATTCTGGAGAACTCCGAAGCTGACCTGTGTCAGGGTGAGGAGGCTGCAAGAAAGGTGAGGAGGCTGCAAGAAAAGTGAGGAGAAGGTGGGGACCAGAACTCAGCCAGGCAGAGGCCCCTGGGACAAGCCGGAGATTCAGGGACATCTTACACCCCTTGCACGGTCCACCAAGGGGCCTGCTGCAGAAGAGCTCAGGGAAGGCAGGCGGCAGCAGGAAATGTGGGAAGCACATGGGTGTCCATCAGACCTGGATGCAGGGAACATGCCAACTCACTCCGCCAACCACAGGAGACCTACGCCTCAAAGCTTCTAGAAGCTCCCAGGCAGGGTCTCTGTGCCAAGGACCCATAGGGCAGGGTAGTCAGCTCTGTCTCGGGAGAAGGGGCAGGCATTTTGTGGAGTCCCAAAAGAAGCTGAACAGCACTCCAGGGGAGAGGTGGGGTTGGAAGGGCAATCAGACAGGGCTTGGCCCATTCTACCCGAAGCCTGGACCCGGACTCACCCTCCCTTTCTTCTCTTCTGCTGCTGCCCAGCCCCCCTCCTGAGCCTCCCCCATGTCCTGGAAACAAACTCACCCTATCTCATGGCTTGAGATGCCTGGCAACCCTCCAAGAAACAGAGGAGGATGGGGATGGCTGGAGGCCCAGTGGGGGAGGGAACCATAGCATCCGCCCCAAGGGCCAGCCGGGCTGCATGTTGGGGAGGGGCTGAGAGTCGGGGAGCCTCAGCCACCCAGGGACAGTCCCAGGTCTGGACTGAAAGCCAGGCCAGCATCTGCCCCACAGAGCAGCAGGGAAGTATGGCCAGACTATAAAGGGTCCTGGGGGTGTGGGGGGGGAGCCAGTGCAGGCAGGTTAGAACAAGAGGACAACTTGTCTGCAGGACAGCAGGGTGCCTCCCTGCATGTCCATGTGGCCCAGGCTTTCCTCAGCCTCAGCCTGCCTTAAAACCAGATGATACCATCTCAAGGCTCAGAGACAAACTGTCACCTCCTTCTTCTCTAGATCTGGGCCCTGGGGTAACACTAGAGCCCCAGATTGAACCGGGACCCTGGGACATCAAGGGGGCACCTTAACTCTGCCACTTTTTTCCTGCCCTCCCCATTAGCCAGTACCCCCTGGACAGTGAGATGCCAGGTTAGCCTTGGGCTGCCAGGAGACCAAGACTAATGCAGGAGCTCAGGACAGCGGGTGCCCAGGAGGGAGCACCAGCCTGACTCCAGAGAAGTGGCCCCTTGGTCCCTGCAGAGGCCAGCTCCATGGCCCTTGATCTCACCTGTCCATGACACTGCATCCCCGAGCTCTCTGACATGGGCCTGTGTGTTCCGTATCTCACCTGTCTTGGCAGAGTGAGTGACATGCACACTGCCCTCTGCCTAGGACTGCCTGCAGAGCATCCAGCACTTCCTGAGAGCCCACCAAAGCATCATCTCCATGTTAACCAGTGCCGGCCTGGCCCTCACGGTACCACTCACTCCCTCACTGCTCCTGCCCACCTCCTTCCCCTTTGCCCTGCCCAGCACCCAACCTAAAGGAAGGGCAGGGCAGGGCAGCCCCCAGGCTAAAGCCCCAAGCCAGGACTCCTGGTGTGGTCTGAGGAATCCTGAGAATTCTCTCAGCCTAGGGAAAAGGGGAGAGCTAGCTACTGACCCGGGAGGTGACCCAGGGTGGCAGTGTCTGCCTCACTCTTTTCTCAAGGCAGCTGGGCATCTTCCAAGCCTGCAAAGCTCAGAAGCTTCCTAGGCTACACTTGGCTTCCACCCTGGGGTTGCTGCTCAAGGTCAAGGCTCTCTGACTGCCTCTCTCCCCAGGTATATGCCATGCTGCTCAGCTCCTTCCTCTGGTTTGCCATCCTCTCCAGTTACCACTTGGACCGCAAAGGCACATACACAGTGAACCCACGGTAGGCTCCCAGCACCACTCCTGGTCCCCAATCTTGGGGAAACCCCAGGGTTCCCTGTCCATAGGGCAAGGAAGACCCAGATCTAAAATCCGGGATGGGCTGGGGAGATAGCTCAGTGGCACAAGCACCTGCCTGGGCAAGCACAAGGTCCTGAGTTCAATTCCTATACCAAAAAAAAAAAAAAAAGTAACAAACAAACAAAAAAAGACTCCAGGAAGAACCTCCTGCTCCTATGGCACATAGGCCTTTTCACCCAGTCCTGGCTACCTGGGTCCTCTCTGTCCAGGCATCCTGCCTTCCCTCTATATTGAGAAACAGCCTCACCATCTCTTCAAGAACATTCTATGATAGACTTCTAGTCCCCTCTAGAATGTTCTACAGCTAGGACTGGCAAGATAGCTCAGCAGAGTAAGTGCCTGCTTTGGCAAGTGCAGGGACCGGGGTTCAATCCCCAGTCCCACATGCCACATTGGCCCCACCCCCAGGTCATGCTGAGCCAGTGACGGAGTGCAGGGGTGGTAGTGCACACCTATAATCCCAGCAGTAGGGAGGCTAAAAACAGGAGGATCACTATGAGTCCGAGCTGCATAGTGAGATACTGTACCAAATACATAAATGAAAAAGCAAAAAGAGAATATTCTACAGTTGCCTCACAATTTGTTCTAGAAAGTTCTGTAATAGCTTCATGGTCTTCCTGCTCTAGAATGTTCTGTGGGGGGCTGGAGATATAGCTCAGTGGCAAAACACTTGCCTGACAAATACAAGCTCCTGAGTTTGATTCCAGGAAAAAAAACAAAAACAAAAAAACCCCACAAAACCAAAAAATACTAAAAAGAATATTCTGCAATAGAATTCCAGTTCACTCTAGGACATTCTACAGCAACCCTACAGACCCTTCTAGAACATTCTGAGATGTTCTAGCCTTGAAGTTCCTGCCAAGAATTCTATGACAGCTTCATAGTCACTTCTAGAATATTCTAGAATCCATTCACAGTCTAGTCTAGAACATTCTAGAAGAACCTCAACATTCCCTCTGCTTCTCAGAACTCATGGCTGCCAGCCCCAGGAGTCCAGCCTCTTCAGATGTTCCCAGGGAGAGACCAATACCTCAACATTCCTCTGAAGCAGAGACTCTTGCTGACTATTAGGACCCAGGAGAACACTTCGCTGTCCTCTGTGGCCCTGGGACTCATGCTCTGTTCCAGCCCCCTGTCCTGCCACCTGTCTGAAGACATAGCGGTGAAGATACCTACCAGGCAGTGGCCCTCATGTGACTGATCCTTAAGGGAGTTGTCCTCCACATAGTGGGGCCCAGAAAAGGGGAGAAGACTCACCAAGCACGCAGACTCCCTGTAGAGTACATGTCATCCTGCAGGGACTAAGACAGGGTGAAGGAGATAGGCCAAGCAGTAGGGAACTCAGGCAAACCCAGCACTGGGAAGGATGCTGTCTTATTACTGCCATCACGGCACTTGTTCTCTATATTTTGTAACAAATAGTACACACAGTGGCTTAGAGCTGCACTTATTCACTCTGTTATGGTTTCTGGGTCAGAGTCCAGGTGTGTTGGGCAGGCTCTGTGTTCATGAGGCCAAAATCAAGGGGACAAGAAGACTAGGCCCGATCCAGAAGCAGCCAGAGGTGGGGGTTGGGGGGTGATCTTCTAGGACCACTCTGGCTCTTGGAAAAATCCAGTTTCTTAAAAAAAAAAAAATCCAGTTTCTTGGAGTTGCAGATCTGACATCACTTGTTACTTGCTGGCTTCATCAAGGGTCTCTCTCTTGGCTCTTTGAAGTCACCCCATTCCTCTCTGCGTCCTCTTCACCTCCAGATTAAGGAGGTAGGCTAAAATGTCCATATGGGAGGATCCTTGTGGTTCAGATTCTATGACTTCTGCCAGCTGGAAAAGCTCTCTTCCTGTGAGGCCCCTTGAAAAATTTAAGACCACCCAAATAATCTCCCTATCTGAAGGAGAATCTTTTCTTTTATATTATGATCAAATACACATGACCTAAAGTTTCCATTGTAATCCATTATTTAAGGGCACAGTTCAGGGGCATTAAGCCACCACTGCTGTCCAACTCCAGAACTTTCTCATTTCCTTCAAATGCTATAGCTCTCCTTAGAGGCTCTCATATGTGTGAAATCCTGTAAGGTTTGCCCTTCTGTGGTTGGCTTGTTTTATTACATAGTGTCTTCCAGAGCCATCCAAATTGTAGCATGTGTCAGAACTTCTGTTAGAGAAATTGTATCGGATTTACAGTGGTCTCACAGTCACTTGTTCTAAGGGTTTAAGGCAGGACATGGAAAAGGCAGAGATTTAGAAATCCTGTCTTAGCCAGGCAAGGTGGCACAAGCCTGTAATCCCAGCACCTGGGGAGGCTGAGGCAGGAGGATCATTGTGAGTTTGAGACCAACCTGATTGTAAAATGAGCTCCAGGTCAGCCTGAACCATATAGCAAGAACTGTCTCAAAAAAGAAAGAAAAAAGAAAAGAAAATAAAAGAAAAAAAAAGAAAGAAAGAAATCTTGTCTCCCACAGCACTTGCTCTGGTCAAACGACCTCAATGAGTCAGTGGTGAACTGTTTAGTTGTCCCTGAATATTTGCATAATTCCCTCAAACTTGTAAGAGCTGGGAACACCATGCTGGCCCAGCCTGGACTGAGGCCGTGGGGCAATTGACGAAAGCTTCCACAGAGGTAGACCCTGATCCTACCAGACCAACCAAAGGGTGGGAGACTCCCAAACTAAGAACTATCCTGTGGTGGGCAGTCACGAAATGACAAAGGCCCACTGCATCGCCCTTGCTTTCCTGCTGATTCACACACCCTTCCTCCCACCCTAACACCTCCCAAAGAAAGTTCTCACATTGTATAAAGCCCTCTGTGGCCACATATGCCTAGACTTGTGCCAAGATGATGTCCTGGGTCTCCAGTGATGGATATCCGTCTTCTGCTTCCCGTTTATGTCATCTCACTATTCTGCAAACTATAGAAGAAACATTAAGGAAGCACCAATAAGACATCCCACACACAACAATGGTGGAAAGAGAAGAAAGAAAAGGAAGTGAGATCAATTTATGCAACACAGTAAAAACAGAAATTCCAGCAGGTGCTACGCTGAGAATGCTCTCTCCCTGTGGCTGTCACCATGTCACAGCTACGTTCATGACCTGTCTCCTCCACAGGTACTCCATGTTTCCCAGTTCTATCTTCTATCAAAACTCAACACCAGTTAGGTAGAGTGAGGACAGACCCTGGGCCACCTAAGCCTACTCACGTTAAGCAGCAGCCTACCTATGTCCTCTGTTAGAGTCACCTCACCATCACCGGGGCCCCTGTATGTTCTTTTAACTCAGTGGCAAAGAAGCCCCAAATGGTCAGGTGCATGCCTGGCTCCCAGCACCATGGTAGGATCATTCTGTTCTCCAATGGAAACATTCCTTTTAGCTACTAAGATCTCCAGGCCAGGAGAGCAGGATTTGTCAGGGACAAGAAACAAAATTTTTGAGAATGGCTCATTAGTCTTCCTCATAAGGATTGTTGCCCCTAGATTTAACCCTCAGCCTCCGCCCTGTGGGTTCTGGTTAGAGAAAGGGCACCACTCTCCAGCTATGGGTGGGACTGTATTGGTAGAAATCCCTGCAACCTTGCAGCAGCATCTTCCCACTGTGGTCCTAAATGACGCATGACGAACCAGCCCAGTGTCCCATTGGGTGGCCTCATTTAAGTAGCAGGATAAATGTCAGGCCTGGTGAAACCCATGACATCTCGCTTGGCCGTATGTCTTCAGGTGTCAGGCCAGTTCCTGGACCAAAGACAGTGATATATGGTGCTCTGGTTTGGGTGTCCCCGCCCCCCACGTCTTCGTATGCTGGAGTTTAATCCTCATTGTGAGGGATTAAAAGGGCAAAAACTTAATCTGATGAGTTTAGAGGTGGGGCTTTGGGAGGTGATTAGGATTAGGGAAGGTGTGGTCACCCTGACAGCACACAAACTAAAATTGGAAGCATTAGAGAGGTCACCAGGGTAAAGCCCCATGGTTGAACTCTGGTGGATTTATGAGAACAAGGAGTAAAACCACACAGATGCACACTCACATCCCCTGTCTCTTCACACGCAATGCCCTGCACAGCCTCAGAACTCTGGCAGCAAGGAGGCCATCACCAGATGTGACCCTTGGTCCTCGCATCTGCTCAATAAACCTCTTTCCTTCAGAAATGTCTTGCTCCATGCATTTCATTATAGTAATGATTCATGGGCTAATGTAGGACATTAGTATCGAGAGTGGGGCCTTCACTATACTGGACCTAGAAATGTGGAAGTAGCCTTGGAACTGGGTGGCTGGCAGAGGAGAAAAGGGTCTGGAGGGGCCAACCAGGATATCCTGGGGGGCTGTATGTAGTCATTATGGGCATTCGGAAGAGACTTCAGAGGAAATATAGGACATAAGGGAAAAGCTAGTTTGGCTTAGAGACTGGCTGCCAGGGGATGTATGCTGAGAGACACGTGGACAGTTAAGGTGTCAAAAGGAAATGAGGACACTGTTGGAAATTGGATTTAAGGCTGCTCTTAATGTGGCAAAGACCTGGGGTATGTTGTGCCAGTGCCTGAGGACTCAGTGGAAGGCTGAGTTTAAGAATGATAGACTAGGGCTGGGGATATAACTCAGCAGCACAGTGCCTGCCTGGCAACAGCAAGGTCCTGAGTTCGATTCCTGATATCAAAACACAGAACAAAACCAAAATCTTCTAGGGCCAAGGATGTAGCTCAGAGGTACAGCGCCTGCCCAGCAAGCACAATGTCCTGAGCTCAATTCCTGGTATAAATAAATAAATAAATAAATAATGGGCCAAGTGAGGTGGTGCATGCCTGTAATCCCATCACTGTGAGTTCAAGGCCAGCCTGAACTACTTGGTAAGACCCTGTCTCAAAAGGAAAGGAAAAAAGGAAAGGAAAAAAAAAATGTTGGGCTTAACCAGCTATAGTGGTGCACACCTATAATCTCAGCCTTCAGGAGGCTGAGGCAGGAGGATTATAAATTCAAGGCCAGATGGAGGCAGCCTGGGCCTTGGTTTGGCTGCCATGGGAACTGCATTTCAGAATGTTTATGATTTGCTAAAAACCAACCTTTACCAGGATGATGCTGTGACAGGAGAAGCAGCTGACCTGGCCCTAGGTTTGGTTGTGTTGGGCTTTAAAAATGCCCAGGCTATCGAGGACATGGTTGGCTATGCCCAGGAAACCCAGCATGAGAAGATCCTGCGTGGTCTCGCCGTCAGCATTGCCTTAGTGATGTATGGGAGGATGGAAGAGGCTGATGCACTCATTGAGTCTCTCTGTCGGGATAAGGACCCAGTTCTTCATAGGTCTGGAATGTATACAGTGGTCATGGCTTATTGTGGCTCTGGTAACAACAAAGCTATTCAACGCCTGTGACATGTTGCTGTCAGCGATGTTAATGATGATGTTAGGAGGGCAGCAGTCGAATCACTTGGCTTCATTCTATTCAGGATCCCTGAGCAGTGTCCCAGTGTGATCTCTCTGCTATTGGAGAGTTACAACCCCCATGTGCGCTATGGAGCCGCGATGGCCCTGGGCATCTGCTGTGCTGGTACAGGAAGCAAGGAAGCGATTAATTTGCTAGAACCAATGACAAATGACCCTGTGAACTACGTGAGGCAAGGGGCTCCCATAGCCTCCACGCTCATCATGATCCAGCAGACTGAGATCACGTCCAAAGGTGAATCAGTTCCAACAGCTGTATTCCAAAATTATCAATGATAAGCATGATGATGTCATGGCCAAGTTTAGCGCTATTCTGGCCCAGGGCATACTAGATGCAGGTGGCCATAATGTTACAATCTCCTTACAGTCCAGAACCGGGCACACACATATGCCTTCTGTGGTTGGCGTCCTTGCCTTTACCCAGTTCTGGTTCTGGTTTCCTCTCTCACGCTTTCTGTCATTGGCTTATACCCCTACCTGTGTCATCGGCCTGAACAAGGATTTAAAGATGCCGAAGTTTCAGTATAAATCAAACTGTAAATCATCCACATTTGTGTATCCTGCACCTCTGGAAGTACTAAAAGAAAAAGAAAAGGAAAAGGTTTCTACTGCTGTGTTGTCTATTACTGCCAAAGCCAAAAAGAAAGAAAAACAAAAAGAAAAAAAGGAGGAAGAGAAAATGGAAGTGGACGAAGCAGAGAAAAGAGAAGAAAAAGGAACCTGAGCCGAATTTCTAGCTGTTAGATAACCCAGCCCGAGTTATGCCTGCCCAGCTGAAGGTCCTCACCATGCCAGAGACCTGTAGATACCAACCTTTCAGCCACTGTCCATCGGAGGCATCATCATTCTGAAGGACACCAGCAAAGACATTGAGGAGCTGGTGGAACCTGTGGCGGCACATGGCCCCAAAATCGAGGAGGAAGAGCAAGAGCCAGAGCCCCCAGAGCCCTTTGAGTATATTGATGACTAAGGGACCAGACGGGATCTGGCCACTCAAAGCCCAGCCGGCTGTGGAGAGCACGCAGCGGGAGCCCTCGCAGGACCTGCAGGACCAGCTCCTCCATGCATGTGGCCTCGCTGTGCGCTCACCTCAAGAACTCCTCTCCAAGTCTTTGACTGAAGAGAAAACACATGACCATTTGGTGTGCTCTTTCACAGACCTTGGTTTTCAAATAAATATATTAAAACTTCCAAATAAATAAATTCAAGGCCAACAGGGACTACATTGTGAGACTCCATCTCAAAAACTTAAAAGAATGGTATAAAATTTCTGTTGAAGTGGATTTCGATATAATAGAGCATTCAGGGAGTGGGATGGGTGTTACTGGTCACTTTTCAGTCAGAATTACAGTGAGATTCAGGCATGAAAGGGAGAAGAGCAGAAAGACTTGGGAATTTCCTAGCCTGTGCATAAAGAGCAAGGAAAAGCGGGTGGAAGAGAGCAATACAGAACACACTTACTGGAGAGAATAGTGCACATCAAAGGGAACCAATGGCTTTTCAAGACCAGACTATTGGGAAAAAAAAAAAAAAAAAAAAAAAAAAAAAAACCTCCAGTTGTCTCAGATATCTCTGTGAAAACTCAGATCTGGGGCATTTGGCCAATGGGAAGGTCTCTAAGTTGCCTCTGAGGGCAGGAGGAGCAGTCACCTTCAACTGTGTGATGAAATTGTATCCAAATAACTGTTCCAAATTATGTGCCCACCAACTATGCATGGGTGGTCCACTTGGTGTATGTCCTTATCCACACATCTAAACATTATGCCTGAGGCAGGCGTGGTGGCACACACCTATAATCCAGCACTTGTGAAGCTGAGACAGGAGGATGATTGCGAGTTCAAGACCAGC